TCCATTGGTGCTTAGGCTACAAGCATGCTCATGTTCTAACAGCTGTTACATGGTGCTCCTCAAACACCATCAGAGCTCTGGAATGTCTCTGTCCTCTGAAGCTTTCCTCAGAACCCAGACGGGAGCTCCCCTCCCACACAGTCTCACACACTCATCTGAACTCCCCCTCCCCAGCAGCAGTAACCTCAACTTCCCTGCTAGAGAAATCCACTGCCTCTTACACTCATGTGCGTTTTACTGAGCTTCTTCTTTTCCCTCCCACTTGGCTTCAAGCTTCTCTATCCTCTTTCTGGCCGCTAGCATCTCTCTGTATCTGATGTGAGTCCTTCTTGCCCTTCACAGCAAGTCACTTGCACGAAAAGAATCTTAGGACTAAGAGTCAAGATACATTTCTGGATGAGACACCTGCTGGATGCAGTGAATTGGAAAAAACACATCAGCATTCTGGCCTCAGTTTTCTTCTCTGTAAAAAAACTGGGTTGAAAGAAGTAAATGTTTTCTAATCTTGTCACCTTTCCCTCTAGCATTGTGTGTCTCACTGGGCTCCCATTTCTCCCCATTCATGTGCTCTTCCTCCCCATTTTGTTTTCCCCTCATTTTTTTAAACTTACTTTTCAATTAGTTTATGTTAAATATTATTTAGTATTAGTTTTAGGTGTAGAACATAGTGGTAAGACAATCATATCCTTATAAAGTGTTTCTATTTAGGAGTATTAGTTTCAGGTCTACAGCATAGTGATGAGACAATTATATCCTTACAAAGTGCTTCCTCCAATATTTTCAGTACCCACCTGGCACCTTATATAGTTACTACGGTATTACTAACTATATTCCCTGTGTTGTACTTTACCCTATGACTATTTTGGAACTATCAATTTTACTTCTTTTTTAAAAAATATTTTTATTGATTTCAGAGAGGTAGGGAGAGGGAGAGAAAAATACAGAAACATCAATGATGAAAGAGAATTATTGATCGGCTGGCTCCAGCACACCCTACACTGGGGAGCCCACAACTGGGGCATGTGTCCTAACCAGAATTGAACCATGCCCTCCTGGTTCATAGGTTGTTGCTCAATCTCTGAGCCAAGCCAGCCGGGCTCAATTTTACTTCTTAATCTTTTTACTTTTTTCACCCACTCATCCAATCCTCCTCCCCTCTGGCAACTGTCAGTCTCTTTCGTGTACCTATGAGTTCGTTTCAATTTTGTTCTTTAGATTTTATGTATAAGTGAAGTCATGTGGTATTTCTTTTTCTCTGACTGACTCTTTTTACTTAGCTTTATACCTTCTAGATCCACCCATACTGTCACAAATGGTAAGATTTCATTCTTTTTTTATGGCCGAGTAATATTCCATTGTATATCTGTACTACCACTTTCTTATCCATCCTCTATTGATGGGCACTTAACTTGTTTCCATATCTTGGTCCTTCCTTGTTTCTCACTTCTGCATGTCTTAGCAGCCATTCTCGATTTAGCCCCAGCACAGCTCCCAGCCTCCTCTCCATTTATCATAGTCCCTGCCCATTCACTATCATCTCAGTCTTTCCTTCCTCCCTCACTTTCAGCTAAAGCATTGTTTTATTGTGTGACCCTGAAATTCCTGTGTGTAATATGTAAATCAAAGTTATGGATTTTATTTCTGGGATGATGGCACAAAACATAACTTGAGATGACTGTGATAATTCTCAAGTGAGGGAAAGTACAGGGATGGAATGAGTCTCAAATGTTTTATCTTTTCAGCCAGTGTTGCTCAGTGGTTGAGCACAACCTATGAAACCAAGAAGTTCCAGGTTCAATTCCTGGTCAGGACACATACCCAGGTTGCCACCTCAGTCCCCATTAGGAGGACACACAGGAGGCAGTTGATTGATGTCTCTCTCATTGATGTTTCTATCTCCCTCTCCCTCTCCCTTCCTCGCTTAAAAAAATCAATAAAAACATATTTTAAAAAAATCTGTTTTATCTACTATATATTTGCACTACTTATGTGGCTTTGCTCAATCTGAGCACCAGAATATTGGCTGCAATGATTATGTCAGACCTTGGCAGTGAGACCCATATATCCATGAATATATTTCAACTGGTTTTTAATTTATAAAAATACCTAAAGTATTAAATCTAAACCTATATAATGATAAACAATACACAACACCTGTGTGTTCGATATAACCTAATTCCTCAATTAAAAACTGATGAGAACTCTTGGTCTGAGAACATTGATTGGTTATACTGCTTAATAGTTCTCACTGTTCTAGCAATCACTAGATAGTGGTAAAAATTCACATACCTGCCAGGGGCCTCTAGATTGCATATAATATTTTCTTTCTTTTCCTAATTTATTTTGTCAAGGCTCTTATTATCAGATAGAAAATAGGTGAAGAAACTCTTTGTTATATGTTTTTAAGAAGATTTTGATATTTTCCTAATATGTTCTGAAAATGCTGCCTAAATATTTAGTTATTATCCTGCAATGCCTATTATATACTTGTTCCTACTTTGCTTAATGACTAATCATCTAG